GTGACTAGCAGACAGGAAACTCTTTTCCGGAAAGAGTTGCAGTGGATGCTAACAGTGATGCTGCTGTCGCCACGCATCTAGAGCGGCATTCTCGTGAGATCTTAATTTTGTTGCACTCACAACAACACACTTTTCACAGCAGCACGCGTATGGACGCGGCAACACAGTGAAAACGATGGCCGAGAACATTGATAACTTTCAGCTCGACACGAGTGTCCTCAGAAACTATTCGGTACGAGCCAACTGCTCAAATGGCACCAAAGCACGTCGGAGAGTGATAGAGAGGCGACCGCCTCTATGTAGGACTCCGTCTGTCACGATCGAGTCGCCCAAGTCTCGTCCATCTGCCCATTGGGCATCTATTGAGGTATCATTGAAAGGTATCGAATGAAGATATTCATGGTACGCCTCGTCATTAAAAATCAAAAGCGACCTCGCTGGGAGTAGAACCTGCGCCTTCTGGTCATCAGCCGACTTGCCAAACTGCACAACGGTTGCGCTACCGAGAGAGATGATCATAACGACAGGATAGTATGCCGGACCATCTGTATGCGGCATGATACCTCCACAGCCTCTTTCATAGTCGTTCACCAATGCATGATTCAACCCTGGGTTGCCATCATTGAAAAGCTCTTTCAGTTGCGGAAGGCTTGTCACAAGTTCTTCGGCTAAATGGTCGAGCAAACCACCACATTCCTTAACACCAATTCGTAGAGGCAGAGTCCTTCGGGCTCCACGCAATACTTTATAATGAGGGAACCTCTGAATAGTCTTCATCAATTCGCCGGCCACTTCTGGGAGCACAAAATCATCTGAGGGGGATTACAAATCGCGGTCAAGATCACAGTCTGCAAGACGATTGTCGTCTCTGCAAATAAACTACATCTAATGCAATTTGGCGACGATTCCGCCGAACAGTACGACATGTCTATCATCAGTAACTAGTCTAACGAACTAATAACCATTGACTGGGAGAGTAACTTCATATCTCAGCAGATCTACCAAGCGAAAGTTCCGGTCCGAGTACGGCCTTTCCATATCACCAAACGACACTCCCGAAAGTTTCGAATTGATAAACTCCCGATGGGAAGTGCTTCTATGATTAAGAACAACTCCATACATCACACGGTTCGCCTATCGATAAACTCGTCGAGACCAGAGACATACCAATAACGTAGACTTTCGAGGGAGCGTCCTTCACTCTGAACCGCTCTAGAGTGTCTTCCTCGTGTAGTATACCCCGCCGTACAAGTTGGCAGCCTAGCAATGGTGATCGAAAGCTGCTGGACTCGGCAGTCTCGACCTACAGTCGAGAGCAACAATAAGACCAGACCGGCTACTCCGTGCCCGACGCTGGAACTGAGCGATCTTCAGCTCCCGATGGTATCAAATCAACTGATACCATTCGGTTTTTCGCTAAGCGTGAGAGAAATCCACATTTTTTGGCAGACAGTTGTCCGTCATCCCAGCCGACTCGGTTCACGTCGCGAGATTAACGATCATAGTAAAGCTATTGAGAGGTAGGTTTCTCGAGAAAAAGGGGAAGGACCAGTTCAACGTGATGCCCTTGTGTAAATTTTCCGATGAGACTCGAAAATCAAGATCGACAACCACACGTTTTTCCAACTCACGTCCTCGTTGTCCATTCGCCTAGTCTTAGCCTGTTGTATCAACTGTCGAACTGACAATATCGTCATGCTGTTGGGAAGAGGCAACACTTATCACTCCACACACGAACAGCTCACTCCGCGATGACAAGGAGAGGCGAGCTATGCTACTATAACAATAACATTTCCGTCCGCGATGAGGAACGACGATTGGCATGCTATTTATGTCGACTTTCGACATGTCATTACAACAGTAACATTTCATCATCAGAGAACTACTTTCTCTCTATCGCCAAGGCGTTTTTACAAGTGCCCAGGGCCTCTAGTTGACACTGATAACCAAAATACTAAACACAACACAAATGAGCACTGATGATGTTTAAATCGATGAAAGACAATCACATGATATTGGGGATTGAAAACGAAGAAGAAAAGACGGAAAAATTAGTGAAAGCACCAAATTTTTCGCTGAAGCTGACAGGCATCCACTCCTCGAGGGAATCACCAAGCGTCTTGCCACGCTTCCTCCACGGTTGCCGGACCTGCCCAAAGTCGATGAATTTGCTACTACTAAATGCCAATTGATACATGAATATCAGAGAGCTGTTGCGAACAAATTCCCAAACTACTATCACATAGTTTCCCACAAACTCATGAGAGACATCACCCATTCGAACCCGAATGAATGGCCGCACAAATTCTGGACACTCCGGAGGAAAAATTGGGTTGGGGAAAGATAGTCTTAGGCGCCCTTGGGATGAGACAGTTTTCCTCGACCCTACTCAGTGCGTTCAACATAGTACAAGTAGACCATGAGAGTCGTAGTAAAAGGATTTCACTATAGTAGTGATAGAATGCTGTATATATTACTCATAGTATGGGTGATGAATCATATTGAAACTAATAATCATTCATGTAGTTCGCATCTAACCAACTTGATCATGTGGAAGTTTGATCGTGAAATCATGCGTAGAAAAATGGAAAAAACAGATGCACTTTCTCCGCTTCGGACTACCAAAAACGAACACACATGTGGGTCACACAAGCCAGGATTAGCCCTGGCACCCATAACCCGAAACGGAAAGCTATAAACATATAGCATCTACTATTATCAAAGGTAATTACAGGAGAACTATGCGTTACAACAAGTACGGGGATGAGCCCGATGAAAGCCGACCTCTGATGAGTCCATCGCTCCTACTGAAAGATGACGATGCAGCTGAGCGGCCACTTCTGATAACAAGGTTGCACTGCCATGTACACCGGACGATTTCGCCGAGGAATGGTATGAGATAGCGAAATTCATTTTCTCACCTTTCTCCACCGCCTTTCCTCGGGCTAGAAAAGCCTCTAGAACGGAAATCATCGGTCTCGAAACGTCGGAAATCAACACCACTAGAGTACTGGCGGACATCACGTGAGCCGAATGAGGCACCGCGAGAAGACCCTTTGTAACGACCTAACCACAAAGCACTTTGATAAAATGTCCAATCCCGAACCTCATCATGAACATTTCTTAGAGAGGATATCACTAAAGTAGAGAATCAATTCATCGTCAATTACCGTCACAATTGTCGTACTTCAATCTGCTACGCTAGGCTAGCCTAGTGAGGTTAACGTAGATGATGATATGGATAGATAAGCAGTGAAGAGAGTGATAGATTAATGAATAACAACAAATAGGGGAGATGAGACAATAGACGTGACTTGGTAGTGAACGTCATTACAGTGTGAACCAGACGTTTGAAGTGATATTTTCGATTTTTATGGGTTTGAAAGTCAACTTTGAGTAATATCAACATGATGACAATGTGAATCGATTGACACCAACGTTTTAGAAGCGTTCTGTAGTCTACAACCATACTCTTTAAGATCTACATATGTATAACTGTTTGGTTCGCAAATTACAAGTATGTGATATGCTAAGTCTAAATGCAACAGTCTTACCACTCTATGAGATCGTCTCCCAAGACTTTCTACTGTCAAGTGTAAGAGTTATTAATAGCACTGCTACTCACCCTTCCCAGAAGCAAACCTGGTTTCTCTAGCAGAGTTAACATCACGCATTAATGATAAGAACCAACTAGGAACCTCCTGCTCATTCTCCTCGAGAAGTGCCTACCATATAAAACATGTCCACATACCACACCATGAGCAGATCATAACTGCGCTCAGCCGTGCTACATTCTACTCGCTGCTACAATATCACTAACACTAGTGCAATACCCAAGTCCAACTGACGAACGTTACCAACAGGAAGAGTAGACCAGTGCTCTGACTTCGATACATCAGTGCTACAGCCAAGTCCCTAACACCCCTGCACAGTGAGAGTGGACTGTTTACACCGCAACAACCCAAATATCATCATCTACCACTCAGAAATGTCGAGTTTGTACTCCAGAAATGTTTCGTAGGGTGGTCCAAAACTTACATACGATCAGTAGATGCGCGCAGAGGGTTGAAAATTTTTTTCCAAATTCCATCTGAGATGTTTGGTGGAGAAATCGGCTCAATACTTCCGTAAAATTGAGCAAAAAATTATCAGACAAGAAATGGCATTTTAGATTTCGCGTCTTGCATATTCTCATCACATGCCGTTCCCATCAGTAGACTCACCCAAAGATCTCGCAAAATCGCGCGTCCACTTTCGTTAACAAATGACGTCGCCGTACCGAGGTTGCCAACCCTACCGGTTCCTGAACACTCAGTTGGCGAGTCCCAACCACACTACTCCGCATCCTACTTCCTATACGATGAACATAATCGTCAATGTTATGGGGCAAATCGTAGTTGATAACGTGATTAACATGACTGATATCCAACCCTCGAGCTGCTACATCTGTTGCTACTAGTATCGGCCTAACGCCCTAAACAACGATAAAAACTACTTTACAACAACACGACTTCAAACACGGACAACCTCAGTTCACGAACCACTAAGATCAACAAGATCACACGAAGACTTAGTCCTGGCTTAGTGAAGATGTAACACATCTATGATGAAGCGAAGGAGT